TCCCAGAGCTCAAAAAATATGATGAAATGCTTTAATTTGATAAATACTGAGCAAAAAGGGGGGCGATTTCAAGAGCACCACAGAATATTGTCATTTGGGAATGCCATATGAAGTGGCAAAGTTATCCCTGCTCATCGGAGGGAGACTGGCTGCAGGATCCCTCAAAGGCAAAGCCATGGACGCCTGGGACTCACACTCAAGTTGGCACAGCATTTCAGAGCACCTGCACACACACTCCTGTATATTTTAAATCATCTCCAGAAAACTTATGATACAGTATAAAGCAGTACCAGTATGAAAACAAAAACAAGAAAATCTGTAGATATTCAGTATACCATTTTCCCCCAGTACTTCTGACCAGTGGTAGATTGGATCCATGGGTTTGAAACCCATGGCCAGGGAAGCACTGCTGCCATTTCTACTCCAGTCATTTCTTTTGCTTTGAATAGTGCCTTTGTTGTGGAAAGCAGCATTTGTATACTGGGAAGAGGAGATGTGCAGGACTCCAGGTTCCCAGCATAAGAAAACAAAACAGCAAGCTTCGGTGTGACCCTTTTTCTCCTGTGTTTTACTCTATCTGATGCCAAAACAGTTTACCTTCTTTCATGAAAGTTATTAAAATGATGTGAATGTTTCCACACTGATAGCATATTAGTAACAAAACTTTCAAAGGAGCAAAACGCTTGCTCAGAAGCCTGGTGCATTTTTACAGGAGCTCTGATGTACTCCAAAATGACTTTGAGAAGCTTCGCCCTCATATAAAATACTATGGGGCTCAAAAAAAAAAAAATACTACGGGGCTCTTGAAATCTTTGGCCTTGCATGATTCATTTTGGAATGAAAAAACACCATGGCAGCTTTCAAGATGATACTGCCTCAAAGTGGTGATGAATTATGGACACTACTTCCAGACCAACAGAAATGCAGTAGCCAGGGGAAGAATTAATATATTCTGGGGTAGAGGGGAGGAGAGCTCTATATTAAAGATTTCACCAGAAGAGGTCTGGACTTCCAGAAATGTTCTTTGTGTTGACGTCTCAGCTTGTTGGGTTGAGGGAAAAGCTACACTGGCCTTGGCAAAGCCAAGATCAAACATGCAAGAGTACATGGTACATGTCTGAGTTTCCAGAAAGAGCAGCTGTCTGAGGAGCAGTAACAGGAAAGGAGTCTATGAAGGACAGTTGACCCGAAGCCCGACATGTAGCCTTCGCCTGTCCCATGCTGAAGGCCGAAAGCGATGACGCAAGGTCTCTGGGCAGATCCTAGAGTGAGCGACTCAGCAAGGAAGAGAAATGGTCAGAAGAATCTCAGTCCCAGATCTCTGACCATGAAGAGGTTATAATTTCCATCTAGAATCCCTTAGCAGTTAACCCTGTCATGTTAATCATGGTTGTGCACGAATGGCAGAGTCATTCACACAGAAAATCTCAGTAGATACACTCAATTCCGGCAGAGAAGGGATGAAAAGAATATAGAGTCAAAACAAAGTAAGGTAAACACGAGAACGTTCTGGAGATCACTTCCATTGTTCTCTTCATGGTATTGGAAGGAAATGATCACAGAGATACTGAACACGCCTCTGTAATCACAGGAAGTGGGACAGCTTCATTTCATAACGTCCTACTGACACAGTCATCACTGTACAATTTTTCTTAACTGGTCCTGGCAACTGTGCATTTAAGGTGGGCTCTAGAGTGGGCCTCCATCCTTACCGTTGTCCTCTCCCAGTCTGGTCCTGCTATCAACAATCACAGCCTCATTGCCAGCCCCTTATTACTCTCTGGCACTTTTTCCTCTTAGACCTTTCCAAATCAAAAGACCTTTCTCCATTGGTTTTTCCAGCTTCTCATTTCACAAACAACACATCACAGCAGAGTGAGCCAGTGCAGCTCTCCTTCAACCCAAACCAGAATTAGCCTGGCTCTATCTCCTTTGGCACCATAAACTCCATCACTGAAGGTCCGTTTCCACCTTGTCCCTCCCATATCCACAGTGCCAAACACTGTGCTAGAACCCATGAGTCTCATGAAAAACATATGGGAGATGCATCAGTGATTGCATGAGATTTTTTTTTTTTCAAGGCACTGTTGGAGTTTCTAACAACCCAAAAGAAATGCTGTGACTCTATACTGGCCAGGTGTATAAACAGCCCCAAGTCCTCTGGACTCTCTGGGAATGGAGTTTTCAATAATGGTTTGGCCTGATTTCCCACACATGTCTTTTGGCATGTTGACAAACACGGTTTGAAACACCTAGGCTCAGTGCTTGAAAACAACCCAAACTGCTGGCCCACAGATCCAAGGCCATAGCACAAATACAGATGGTTAAATATCGTCCCCCTCCCTTTCTCCCTGGGCAAGTTTATTCTGGTAAGTTCTTGATAGTCAACACTTCTGCATTTCTGCACACCAGCCAGAGACCCACAGCTAAGGAATCACTTCTTCCTCTCTGTTTGAGTCTGTGATGGATCCTGTAGCTTAGGAGGAAGCTAAGCGCTATCCAAATACCACATGTTCCATATGCTAGTGTTATTACCACTCTCACTGGTGTTACGTACGGCCGTGCTTGCTGCACTCACAAGGTGCTTTGTCAGGGGCTGGCGGGACACTACCAACTGTTTCTCTGACCCATATTTGTGACACATTCACTGTGAACTCACTTGTTTTGTTGAAATAACTTACACATGTGTATGAATGCTAAGTTTTGCTTTCCGACTCATCCTCACTTAAAGGAGAATTAATGACCCATTAAAGAGGAATTCCTAAGCTAAAATGCCTTAATTAGAAAACCAGATGTTCTGCTTTTACTGAGAAATACAGAGCTGTTCAAACGAGGCAGGAAATCGGGGCCAAAACTCGGGCAGCGTCTAGAAGCGCTAGCTGTTGCATGGGAACCGACGAAAGGCACTGATTGAAGCCATGCAAGTGGCCCTGCATGCTGTCTCCATGCCCAGTCATTCTTTAGACCCCTTCCCTGCCACTCTCCAACCTTCCAATGCAGCCGTGGCTGGAGTGAGGGAAGCACAATCCTGTAGTTTTTTGGTGGATGTTTCTGTAGGTTAAAGCATGCACAATTACAATCTTGATGGGTAAGACATCTCAGTTTAACCTTCCCTTTCATTGATTTAGTGAAACACTCTACTTAATAATGAGGGAAAGACAGCAATGAGACAAAGCCAAGCAGGGTAGGACATATATGGTGACAAATGGCCCAGGCCTCTCTCTGTGGCTCTGGGCCAGCCTAATGCACAGGCTGTCCACAGAAGCCAGGCAGCCCAGGGTGGGGCTGATGCAGTGCTCAGTCCACATGGCCAGGTGACCCAGTGTGATGACATTACAGCTCTGTGAAAATGGGCCTGAGTGATGAAGACACCAATCAGGCATTTCCTCAGGACTCCATGAACTACAGTGAAGGCCATTCAGTAGTTCACAAAACTGTTTAAGGAAGATACGGGGGGTGGGGAGGGGGGAGGAGGAAGGGGCGGGGAATGAGGAAGAGAAAAATAATTGTATAAGAGTGGGCTTCCACTGTGGTTGGTGTCATCCTTACATCTGTTTACTTCCACTGAGATCTTCTCATATAGCACTGTCATATACTTCATAACAAATGGAAGCAAGTCACATACACTTATTTTTGTAGCATGATTCATGAGAAATGTTTTTATCATTATTATTATCTAAGCTTGACAAATACAGACATCAAGATGTAATGTTGTGTTGTCCAATGTCGCCCCTTGGGAAAACAGCATGGCTGGAATAAGGGCCCAGGCAGTCTGCAGCCTGCAGGATGCAGTTTTATCTGGTAGGATTTCTCAGCCCCTGTATCATATGGTGCTACCATAATTATATTTAATCACGTTCCTAGTACCAGACATATATATATATATATATATATATATTTATATTTATACACATCTAGATATTTTTAAACTAGGGCAGTATAACATCACATACATGTTTAATGAATGCTTTCTTATTAAATATCTTTTGATTCTTTTTAGGAAAACAAAGAGAGATATTTTCCACTGGAACATTATTCCTCTCCAGTGATTTCATAGTTGCCTAAAAATACTTGGCCAAGAAGGAAGAACTTAGAACTCCCAGGGGCCCTTCCATTCCTTCATGTTCTAGCATTATTTGTCCAATGTCAAAATCTGGTTGAGTTTCAAGTATGCTACTGTACAAGAGAAAGGCCCTTCAAAAACAAGGTAGTTAACAAATAAAACTTCTCCACATAAAAAACACACGGAGACATCATTTCTCATAGTCAACTGGCAAAAATGCTTTGTTTTTAAAAATTTCCACTAATGGAAAACTGGGTGAAAGTGGCGATATTCCTGTATTACCTCTGGAAAAACACAAACAGACTTTATTGATAAATAACTTGGCAACAAGTGCGAAGTCTTAGAATTGGAACACTTTTAAATTCAGCAAATTTATTGCTAACAAGTTATCCCAAGGAAGTCATTACTAATGAGAAAACTGATATAGGGCTATAAGAATTCTTTGTAACACAAAGCAGAAAAATATTTAAATAACTCACATCCAATAAGAAGGGAATCAACTAACTGAACCAAATAAATTCTAAAATATCTGTTTAGTGGCAGATTTCATAACCTTTAAAACTATGTGTAGGAAAATGTCTGTTGCTATGAAATGATGTTAATTGTTTCATTAAGAGGAACAAAACGTTTGAGGAAAGTACACACAATTGCATCGCCTAACACCATTGGATGGTTCTCTCTCCACCTGCATTAACATCGTGAGGATATTCTTTTCAGGTTTTCTCATTCACCCTAATCACAATCTACCAATAAATGCAAGTTGCTTTTTTTTTTCGTAGAAAGAGTTCCATTTTGATAAGGAAAACGAAGAAGAAGGCAGAAGACATGGAGAATACATGAAGTTATAAATATACGGTACGGTGTGTATACACCTCGACCAGTATCTTGAGGACTTGCCAACAAAACGGTAAATGTTTCCAATTTTGGAGATAGTTACCTGTACCATGTGCTTTCATCACAATGGAGAACCGTATGCAGTTGGTCTCTTCTCAGCAGATGCCCGCACAAGGATTCTGCTTGAACATAAAGAGTGGCAGTAGGATGTATCAGATGCCTAGACCTGAGGTCACAAAAAAAAAAATTCAACTTAGTTGGCCAATCTCTGTGGCCTCCATTAAAACATGATATTAATGATCTCTCTCTCTCTCTCTTTCACACACTCTCTCTCTCTCTCACACACACACACACACACACACACACGGAGTTCTCAAATCGGAATATAAACAATTCAAAAGCACAGACATAGCAGGTTCCCATCCACAAGATGAGTGAGTTTTGCCCAGGGGTTGCTCCTGCCCCATTAAGACCATCACCATCAAAAGTATCCTGTGATGGGCATTTGGCCTAATGACTAAACCACCCCTTGGGACTCCCACAATCTGGATTGTAGTGTCTGGGTTCAAGTTCTGACTTTATTCCCAATTTCAGCCTTTCATTAAGGGAAACCCAGGGAAGCAACAGGTGGGTCATGGCTCAAGTAATTTGGGTGCCTGTTTTGTCCAGGCCCATCCCAGGCTGTTGAAAGCATGAGTAAATGGTCCAAGTTTGGCTTTTGAAGCTAAACACACCTCTGCACTGAACACTTGAGTAAAACAGCGTTAACAGAACGACCCACATTCATCACTAACATTGATTCAACATTGATCACAACCCTGGCATTGTGCCAAGGGCTTCCTACACATGACTCCATCCCATGGCACCCTGGGAGAAAGCCAATAATCATTACTACCTCTGTATTATGAATGGAAGCATTCGTGATATGTACCACTGAGAGATACCAAAGACAGTATGTAAGGCAACGTGGTTCAGACAGCCCAGGCCTGTAATTGCAGTACTATATCTTCTTTCTACAGTAATCTTATCAAGACTTCTGCAGTCATTATTAGAAAGTTAAATATCAGACCCAAACCATCTTTCTCTTCCCCAGAATTAACAGGTCATTTACATGTTAACATCTTTAACATTTTCTGGATTTCACTGTACCATAATTCCCAAGCTCAACTGATATAGACATATATCTGTATTTTAATCGAGGGTAAATTGGTAGTTATTCTAGGAAACCAAAAACTGCTGGGTAGACTCCCTAGAGATGCTCCTATGCCAGATCAGAACACCAGGGTCTGAAACCAAGTTCTGAAGACCTGATGTTTATGCAGCCTCTGGGCGGCGGCAGTGATGTCATGAGACTGGTTCCTTTCACCCACGTGGCAGAGATGGATTGAATTAATGCCTGCTGGCTTTGGTACCCCTGTGGGCATTTGGGGGCGTGAAGCAACAAACAGAAACACTCTTTGCCTGCCTCTCACTGCTTCTCTGCCTCTCAAACAACCTTCTTCATTTTTAAATGCCTGGCAATTCCAAATCCACATATGAAAACATTAAGTGAAAATCTACAACACAAACCCTACATAAATGGCTGCATTTCATTAGAAGGCGGGTAATAAAAATGAAAAAGCCATGTGTGAGCATAGAAATGAAGATTTGGAAATAAACAGCACAATTTTGGTCTCTTGAAACACAGCTTTGAAAACTTAACCATGCCTTCCTCTTTACAACTTATACAAACTACAGATCTATGAGTCTCATAATTCTCTTTGATTATGTGCGTGTACAAGGGCACTTAAAAAACTCTGGTAAATGAGATTAAAAGATAACTTTATTTTGGTGCCCCAAATTTTGAAATCCATACAGATCTTCTCACACACATTCTAATGAATATCCACTGTAAAAATGGATTTTACCTTATTTGGTACCAAAGTAAGCTTTGCTACCCAACTGTCCATTGACGCTTTCTAACTCAGCTCTTGCTTAAAGCACTGCAATGAGTCTCTTCACATGGTCTTGGGCTAGTTGGTCCAGTCCCTGGCTTAGCTCCAGCTTTTCCAGCTCCATTCCAATTCCTCAGGAGCACCTGTCTCTCTGAAGGCTTGGGCCTTTGAAAAGACTCTCTGACTCCTTGTTAAGTTGTCTTTGCAAATGACCTGTCCATTTCAACCAAGGGTCTGCTCTCCTCCTTCAGCTCTCAGTTCAGTCATCTCCTTGTGTGTCTCCTGCTCAGCCAGGGCCTCCTCCTCTTGCTCCTCCTGCTCCTCTTCCTCCTCCTCCTACTACTACTACTACACGCATGGCATCAACCTCGTCTTTCAAATTCCACATTTTCAAAGTTGCTCTGTTGCTTTTTTTTCCCAGTGTGGAGTCACAAAAAAATCAGAAAGATAGAACCATGCATACTCTTGCCCATCCCGTTATCTTCAGAACTAAACACATGAGTGGTGCTCAGTAGAAACCTGTTGAATGAATAAGGATGTGAGAGGATGGTGAGGCAGATATGCCTTAGGTATAATGTCTTCATTACCGTTCACTGAATTAATTTGTGGGTGGGCTCTAACACCTGCATTCCCCAGAGTAGCCTAGAAGGCTCCCCATGGTCTGATCCCAGTCGCCCATTGCACCTGAACATCAACAGTTCTGTTGCACCCTCTCTAAACCCTTACCTCTTCTGTCCCTTGTCCATCTCATTTTCTGCAGCTTGCTCATGCCTGACAGCTACGGTTGCTTTCCTGCGACAATGCGGATAGCGCCTAACAAGCTGATGTCTTCTCCCATTTTTCTAAATGCCCTTGTACCTAGCCCTATAGTGAACATATTTTCTTGGATTTGTTTCTTAAATTCGTCTCCTTCACTGAATCATAAATTCCGTAAGGGCAAGGGGGTCCCCTCATTACACCATCTACAGAGCTTAGTACAGTAGCCTGGGTGCATACATTATCAACCAATAAATATTTGTTGGATGAGCAAAAAGGAAACACTTCAAAACTGAATTAAAAGTAACTTGACTTCGGTGCAAAAATTTTAGAATACATCATGCATAATTCATTCCTAATATGCATTTTCATGAACTTTTGGAAGTCTCCTCATCCGCACGCACTCCAAAATCTTCTTGTACAAAGTAAACTTATCTTCAAAAAAAAATTCCCACAAACTTTTTGAAGTTCCCTTATAGTCACCAAACATACATAGATCATGTGTGCAAAGTTCCATGATTGAGCATTGGACATGTTATGAAAGGTTAGCAAGGTAGCACAGCCGGTTAAGCTGCCACCCAAAGACACAGGCCTCCCATCTAAGCCAGGTTCTAGTGCCAGCTACTCTACTTCTGATACAGCTCCCAGCTAGTGCACCTGGGAAATCAGCGGAAGATGGCCTAAGTACCAGGGCCTCTGCACCCAGATGACGACCTGGGCACAGTTCCAGGCTCCTGGCTTCAGCCAGCTGCAGTTCTTTGGGAAGACCTCCCCTGCCCCTCTCTCATTCTGCCTTTTAAGTAAATAAAACAGAGCTTTTAAAAATATATACCATGTGACATAATGATTATGAATCCATCTGCAAAATGGATATTACAGAGTAGTTATGAAACCAAGATCCAAAAGTAAAATATTCAGCACATTCTATAAAAATATCATATATATATATACATACATATATACACACACACACATATATAATTAACTGTAGTGTTAGGACAACCAAGCTGAATTGTAATTCATGCTTCAAACTTAACAGTTTCATTTGACAACATTTTGTCTATTGAAACATGAAGTAGCATCCCTTTTCAAGGCCCCAGGAGAGGCAAGAAAGAGGCTCAGAAGGAAAAGGAGACTCTTACTCATCCCAGCTGAAGGACAGCTGATGGCTTCAGGCATCCACACTGTATGGAGAAACAAAAGCACTTACAAAAAAGGATTTCTGTGCAAAAATACCTAGAAAGATTATGACGGAACAATGAACACTGTCCTTCAAGTGCCAGACACACTTAGGTGTAATGATTAAAAACACCGTGAGTTATTTCTTGGGGAAAAAGAAAACCACGAGATCAAGATGCATTTTCATCCACCCCTTACAGTTTCTGGCAGAGTGACGGGGGCTTCATAAATTGAAACGAAGGCTATGTCTAGTGAGAATGCCATAAAACATTTGAATTAGCAACCAACACAATTACGTGTCATCTATTTAACGCTATCCTGATTTGCAATTGTTGAAAATTTGTGAAACATGACTACATAAAGAAGAAAAGACAAGGTTATTCTGCAATAGTATTTTGAGGACAAAAAAAAAATGTAAGGATGAACTATTCACAAATGCTCCCATAATTTAGTTGAGCAGAATGAAATGGAAATAATTTATTCTACAAAGCAAACATATAATTCTGTCCAAATCACTTTTTTCTTTGGGCTATGGCCCAGGTGTACACCACGTACATTAAAGTGTTTGGGCTAGTATGTGCCGTGGAATTATAAGGTACCATCATTAGCATATTTTGAGATTTCTATTCTCAGCTCACCTTTCTTCTTGTGACAAGTGACATTATGCAAAGCAAGTGAGAGGCTGAAGGGCCCTGATCTTATTCTCAGCGGTATTAAGAGGTATAGGGGAAAATATGATTAAGATATTAACTTCCCTTTTACCTTGAGAATATTAAACTGCTTAACTGCTTTTCATTATACTGCTCTTCACTGGCCACAATGGGGGCCAGTTCAACACAATCAATGCATTGTTCTCTGTAGCATCTTGATAATCCAAAGGAAGGGGAAAAGAAGACAGAGTTAGTGAAGAAAGTCTTAATGGGGCAGTTACTTGGTGCAACAATTTCACTATCAGGATGCTTTGTAGATGTGTCATAATGTCTTGCGCTGTGTCCTGAGGCGTACCGCCCTGAACCTGGAAAGCCCACCGTTTGGTGTGGCTGTCGGCGTTTGTGACACACTTCCACACAAGCTGGATGCTCCATGCTGAGTAACGATCTGTCTCCCTCTCGGCAATGGGAGCCCCGATTGGGTCTCTGTATTTTCTGTAACAATTCACACTGTTCTTTGCATAGAACGCATCTCAGTACATAATGGTTTGATCTGTCAGTGAATACAAATACGTTGCCGGTAAAAGGGCATCGGAGTATGATTTAAAGTCAACACTTGCAGTAATTTTTTTTTTCTATTTCCAGGTACATCCGCAATACAGAAAGATGCTGACAATATTTGGAAATACAGACATGCTGTACCTTTT